CCTGTTCAAATTTGCTGACCACCAAGATTTGGGGTAAGGTGGGCATGCTAGAAGGGAGGGACAGGATACAGCTGGACCTGGCCAGGTTACAGGGGTGGGCAAATGAGAATAGGATGGGATTCAATACTGACAAGTGCAGAATGCTGCACTTGGGCAGTAAGAACCAACAGCATACCTGTAGGCTGGGGAACTCCCTTCTTGAAAGCATGGTGGCAGAAAAGGATCTTAGAATCATTATCAATTCCAAAACGAACATGGGCCACCAATGTGAGGACGTGGTCAGTAAGGCCAACCACACCTTGTCATGCATCCACAGATGCATCACGAGCAGGTCCAAGGAGGTGATCCTCCCCCTCTATGCAATGCTGGTCAGGCCACAGTTGGAGTACTGTGTCGAGTTCTGGGTGCCGCACTTCAGGAGGGATGTGGACAGCATCGAGAGGGTCCAGAGGAGGGCGACTTGCATGGTCAGGGGGCAGCAGGGCAGGCCCTACGAGGAGAGGCTGAGGGACCTGAACCTGTTCAGCCTCCACAAAAGAAGGCTGAGAGGGGATCTGGTGGCCATCTATAAAGTTACCAGGGGGGACCAGAGGGGATTGGGTGAGTCCTTGTTCCCCCAAGCACCTCCCGGAGTAACAAGGAATAACGGCCACAAGTTGTTTGAGAGTAGGTTCAGGCTGGATATTAGAAGGCACTACTTCACAATTAGGGCGGCTAGGATCTGGAACCAACTTCCAAGGGAAGTGGTGCTGGCTCCTACCTTGGGGGTCTTTAAAAGGAGGTTGGATAGTTACCTAGCTGGGGTCATATGAGCCCAGTATTCTCTCCTGCCCAGGGCAGGGGGTCAGACTTGAAAATCTACTTAGGTCCCTTCCGACTCTATATCTATGAATCTATGAATCTTTTCAAATTCCTGGATTCACCCATGCCAGCACCTGCTCTGCAAGAAATGCCAGCACCAAATTGCCAGCTGCACTCAGTGAAATAGTCTTGCTTAGCACTGCCACAGGGTTATATTAGGTTTATTAATGAAATCGACTTTAACTGGATATGGAAGTTTCATTGTAACGTAAAGTTTAATTAAGAGCTTCTCCTATTAAATCCTTAATAGTTGGACAATGTATTCCTGGAGAGGAGATATGAATAGACTATGGTTAAATAGAAAGGTTGCATGGTATGTAATCTGAATTTCAATTTCTGAATTTTCATTAATCTACCTTTCTTGATACATAATAAGAGCCTGATCCAACTCCAATAAATTCCATGGTATCCTATTCATTTTTTGCATTAGGGTTTGTATCAGGCCCCAAGTGAGTTAGATTAGAAAAGGATTTTACAGGACTAAATCTCAAGTGTTGTCTTTAAGTAGCTGATTTGAAGCTCTTGCCCAGTTACTGAGCTTCACAAGAGTGCTGTGCTGAGATCACACAGGCTTAGCTATTTGGTAATTATTGTAGCTCATTTGTGGTATAAGTAACAACATTCACTGACCTTTAAACTAACACTGTGGTAAACAGGCAAGGTCTACCTTTTAATTTTAGAAACAACAATCTAGACTAGGAATACCTATTTTAACCTTATAGAAGGAAAAGTGTTCCCTAGGGGAAACATTTATTTTATTCTTATATAAGATCTATTCTCTTTTTGGAAGCTCTTAATAAAGGAAAGACATTAAAAACAGTAAAAATGAACACCATTCTGTTGACTGCTTTTGTTTCTTATTTCCCCTGTAAAATAAATTATTCATTAAGATCTTTGAGTTTTCTTGCTTGTCTAAATCCTAGTATCCCCTTGGGCATGTTAAGACTCTTACTATAACAAACAGTGATGTCACATCTATGAAATGCTGTCATCAGAATCAATTATTAATAATCTGGCATGTACATTCTTTATTTCCCTAAGCTATCCCCTTGCCCCTTACACAATTTTCAATGGGACTAATCACTTGCTCACAGCCAAGCATGTGTATATATCTTTGCAGGACCAGAGCCCATAACTGTAGTAATTTGGAGATAAAATTACATGGTCCTCTAGACCCCAAATCATGCATAAAACAGACTTGCAGCTTCCTCAAAGGCAGAAAGTGCAAAAATCTCAAAATGAGAATGTTTGTGTTTGGAGTCCAAGAAACACTGCTGTGTCATTGCCAACATACACACCATTCACCTCTGGTCTGTTCGTGTGACCATATGCCTTGATCTGGAAGCAAAAAACAAAGGCAGCAGCAGCAGCAGCAGCCAGACAAAGAGGATTCATGCCTTTAATATATATGGTATAAAACATCTCCCATAACTGCAGATGGATGATTCTGAGGTCAATGTTTAAAAAGGACATGATCAGCCTGACACGTCATAATTTAAAACAAATAGGTTAAAAATATCTCCAGTTCCTGAACTATTACTGAACTCCTACCTTGGTAATTGTAGTAGTTTTAGAGTTTTCAGTTTTTAATTCCACATTTTCCAGTTTTTAATTCCTCCCCCTCTTTCCTTTTGTTAGGTGAAACTATTTCCCGGCATTTATTTCGGTTTTTGTAATCCTTGGTGTGGTAATGGGAGGGGACACACTTCAGGCAGATGTTTGATTTTTGTTTTGATAATGTTCTTTTAATGTTTGTTTAACAGTGAGGTGGCAGCAGGGTTTGCATAAGCTGGAGATGCATGGAAAAAATGAACAATACACCACTTCACCACGTAGAGTTAAGAGGTAAGTTACCCTTAATGAGAAGAGTTCAAAAAGGGGAATGATTAGTAATACATTTTGATTTTCCATGCATGCTTACCCACAGAAACCTCTCTAATGAACTAAGATTCTTAGCTGCAAATGAATCCAAAATGAAAAAGAAACAGGACCTTTACTTGAAGGGCAACCCAACACGTTGTCCTGATAAAACCAATTGTTGGATAGTTTTCTCTGGTGTTTTTGCCCAGGATTACCAAATTCCAAGTTCATGTTATATCATTTCAGTAGGGGACCTGCCACTGAGGAATGCAGGGCTGAAGTGGAAATGTGAAGTTTGTTTTTATTATATTTTTACTCTTTTTCTCTATTCTAGGTATTTTTGTAACTTATATAACCCCAATTGCCGCTGTATCTGAACACCACACAGTTCTCAATGAATTTCTCATTATAGTGTATCCTGGGAGGCAAGGGTTCCCACTATAAAGCTATGGAAGTAAGAAAGAAGATAGTCATGCAAGAAATCTGTGAGGGCAGTTGGATTCCAGAGTCGCTACCCACGGGACCATCCTTCTTTCTAACGTACTTCTGTGTATTTTGAATGATGATGGAAGCCTGGAGAGTTGGTGGTGTAAAGCAAATGAAACAAAGCACAATTTGGCTTAATGCGGCACTCTCAAAAACCCACACGTGGAAACTCTGAATCTGAGATAGATCAAGTTAGTTCTACCTGTGCTTTACTATGCAGCAAAAAAGCCTGCCCTGCAAGGGACTGAGGTCATTCTAGGAACGGAGCTGTAGAGGGACCTTATCTCCCAGGGATCAGTTGTGTGTTACTCAAAACTTTTCAGGAGGTGCTCAACTTTTTGCAGAATATGACTCTTAAATAGATAATATAGCTAGGATATGTTTATTACCATACCAGATGGGATCTTCTATTGAAATCAGAGTTGGGCACTGTCCAGCCCAAATGAGAAAAAAAAATCACTCCCTGAGGAACTTAAGAATTAAGACCCAAATCCACACACGTTTAGTTCCCAGGTTCTGTTTAGGAGTTCATAGGAAGGCAAGAGCCTATACAGGAGATAAGAGTCAAAGTTCCTTTGTCAATTTGGCCTTAAGGCTGAGATTTAGGAATGCAAATCCTTATGCCTGTCCATAGCAGACATATAAAACACATGGGTACATGAACAAGTTATTGTGAAGGGCAGGGGGCCCATTGCACATCAGCTACTCTGAAATAGCTCCTCAGATCCATACACTTACTTCCCTGTAAATGAAAGCTCATTGGTCTTTTTGGCAACCCACCATCTGAAAGTTTCATCCTGGAGCTGGATGACGTGGGCTAAAAAATCATATTGTCAATGCTAATGAGTGAGGGTCTGTGCTGAGATGATGGAAACTTGTCAAGTACTTTTCTTATTGGTATTTTACTTGAGTTGCCTTTCCACCAAGGCAAGATCTGGGTTTGTCTGAATATTCCAACATATGTGGTTCCTTTGGGTTATAGATGGGGGTTATAGCATTCAGCCTTTCCCAGAAACAGTACGTTGTTAGTGTTAACAGAGTATCTCCAATTTCGATGCTGACAATTAAAGTCACTTGCACATAAGGTCATCTGGTCATAAATAGGCAGGGATGTGATTCACAACACAGCAGAGGGTACCTTGTATATATTGACGATAATTATGTCATTGACCTGGACCACGCTCCGTTCTATTGCACTCTGGGAGGTGTTATGTCTCTTGATAGTGTATGGCAGGTCATTTCTGATGAAGGTAGCAAGGCCAGGGACCCTGCTAGCTACAGAGTCTGCAAGGCTGTAGCCTGAGAGCTTCACCTTTTGCAGCTGCTCTACACGTGTTTGTTGTAGAAGGGCTGCATGTGGTTTCATTTTGCTGGTGATGCGTCCCAGCATTGATTGCTTGAGGTATAGCCTTCAACGATAAGTTGAAGAAGTCAAGTGTTCCCCTCACAGATAGGAGAGGTTGCTCTTGATCCTCCTGTAGTTAATATGTCAAAATTGGAGAGTATAGTGTATCAAAAATGGAAAAATCGAAAATCCCATTGTCTTGGTAGTGACTTTTAGTTTTACTTGACAGCTACTCAGACAGCACCACAAGAAGGTAGTCACTGTCATCCCCCCAGATGAAAGCTAACTTGTGGTAGTTTGCCCCTAATTCACTGATAGATAAGCTACTCTCAGGTGTCCTTTATCACAGGGTGAGAGCATGCCCCTGAGTAGTTGCATGGAGCAGCTGACAGGTTGTAAATCTCCTCCCCCATTTACCTTGTGGTAACTTGTTTGTGTGATGCCTTTAAGTTCGGTCCTCAAAAGCATGATTTCTTCAATTGAGGGAGACAAAGGAAGGGTTATTATCTCCACTTGCAAGATGAAGCACACTGAGACACAGAAAGACTGATGTCCAGCTCCTCAAAAGGTATTTAGGTGCCAAATTGCCTTTGATTTCCCTTCCTCTCCTATAAGCTAAAGTCACTTGGGAGAGAAGAAAACTCCAACCAGTTCCCTAATCAGAAAACATTTTTTTTCTCTCTGAGACAGGCTGACCTGGCTCCCATGTTTGGAGTTTCCCATTTATGGTAGTGGAATCAGGCTTGATTTATACATGTGATTTCCTCACAAGGTTTAATATTGTTCTTGTAACCTGGTTTACTTCTAAACTTTTAAAATGTGTTGGATCACACAATAATCTTTATAAAATCTCTCTAGCAATTCACATACATTCTGCTGTAAAGAGAAGTGAATTAGAATGACTGTAGGGGCCTGCTATTAGTAGCTTGCCCTTTGGGTTTTCATGTGGTGGAATAACCTCCTAAAATTGTTTCTGAAGTGTTTTCTGTGTGATAACCGCTGTTTTGTCAAGAGCTCTGAAAACTTACTTTCAACACTGAATACACAGGCCAGCAGTGCTGCTAGAATAAAACCCGCTTTTGCAAGGATGGAGAAGACAGATTGGTTTTAAAAATGCATCTACAGTGCATATAGTACATAATAAAATGCTAAACTGCAATAAAAAAAGAAAATGATGGCTTCACATGAGAGAACCTAAAGTCATTACCCAACATTATGACTTCCTATAGTTGTGTGCATGAAGGTGCTGAAAAAGAGTACTTGCAAAATGAAAAGAATACACTGCCACACACTCTGCTCTCGCTGTTACCCTGGGGCAAATCTTGAATGACTTCGTTGCCATCAACAGACTTAGTCTGGTGTGACAATGGGCAATAGTTGAACAAATGAATTCGGGAATACCACTGAATTACACATTGGTACGAGCAAGAATCATCATATCCTTCTGTAGGTTAGAGGAGTGAACTTCAAGGATTCATGATCAAATCATGATTTGATCTCTCTTTTGTGAGTCTCAGAGGATTCTCACCAGACACCATATATAGCCCTAGAAATACAGTTAATATAAGGAACAACCATTACTGAGCAGGGGTTTTCAGTGTTTTGAAATTTATTTACAGTCAATCTGCACCCATATCTCCTCATGCTAACATTGTCCTTTAGCTTAAACAGCTCTTCTCCTTTTTATCTGGCTTCACCACTCCCCACCAACTCCCTACCAATGCATTTATAGAAAGCAGTCCTACCCTGCTCAGCTCTTGTTTTGCTAGGCTAAACAATCCAAGCTCTCTTATTTTCCTCTTATTTTGATGTTCCCATCCTAAACTGAAAAAACTGATTGTTAGCTGCAAACTCCCACTCTTTGCCTTGCAGGAGGAAGACACCTTTGAGACATAGTGGAGGCAGGAATTCATGCAGAAATCACTCCCACGCCTTCATCTACAGTTAGTCAGTCCAAGTGCCTCTGGAACATCAGTCCATCAGTTAGCAAGCAGGGCACCTCTCTCACTTACGGTCTGGCTGAGTCTCACATGCAGCCTAGTACAGGCTTGCACTGGCCATGCAAACAGACTACTCCTTAAACCCTAACCCCAGACTCATAATATAGGCCTTCCAAGTTCCTGCGGCAGAGCACACAGGCCATGTGGTCTCTTCTGAAATGGGGTTCCCATCCTCCAACCAGAGGGGAGCAGGTTGTAGGAATTAGATTAGGAGTAAATGTACACATGTACACATGAGCTTTAATGTGCATTAGCCTATTTTAATACACATTAAAGCATCACAAAAACATGCTCTTTAGCTAATGCGCATTAAAATAGGCTAATGTGCATTTTTTAGTACCTCACAATGGAGGTACTACATTTAATGTGCATTACCTAAAGTACATTAATGAACATGTAGATGTGCCCAGTAAGGAGTAAATAGGAGTAAGATTTCCTGCCCACTTGCTAACCAACCAGAGCTCTGGGACCAGAGGGCTCTATCTTTAACCCTGCAGATATGTGGAGTGGAGAAAATACGGAGAATAACTAGTTACCAATAGGATATATAGGTGCCCTTCCATTTTCTTGACTAGATCAACATTTTAAGGCGAGCCCTTGCCAGTTTTTCTTAACAAAGTAGGTTAGGAATGAATATGGAATGAAAGCCAAACCCCTCCCCCGGACATTGGGGTTTTTGTGCCTTGGACCACTGATTCAGACTTTGCAGATTCCAAAGCCTGCCTCTGCTTAGCTGAGGCTTCCCAATTGGCTGATAACCTGGGTTGTACTTGAGAGGTTAATGCTAAGATTTGTAGCTTCCCTACAAACAAAAAGCAATGGGGAATGGTGCAGTGGGAAATAAGGAACTGGCCAAAGAGTGATTGTACTCATGAGAATCAGTGTTTGATAATCAGGCTGGGGAATAAATGGGAAGGGAAGAACTGGAGAAGAGAGAAAGGAAAGACACAAAAAGATTTTCAGAAGCTTCAAATACAACTCGATATCTTGAGGGATTTCTCCAAATTTCTGACCACAAATTTGCCCAAACCAAGCCTAAATGGATTTGTCCCAAATCAGTGGATTTGGTCTGAATCTTAATGTTGTAACTCATGCATTTATCTTCAGAATGGATTTAGTCACACTCCACAGGGCTGAAATCTGGGTCCCAATTTTGCATCTAGAGCTTTTTAATGTTCATCTTCCCTTGCTGCAGTAGTATGTCCTCTAGATATGAGACTAATTCAAAGCTTTCCTTTATTTCAGACTGTCTTTCTGTGCTGTCCCTTTTTCATCCACATTTCAAAGGTGGTATTATATGCTGAATCCTGACTGCTCTCCATCCAGCCTCAGGCAGTCATTGTCCTCTTCACATTTTAGTGCTACTCTGATAGGGCAGGTATTTCATTCCCATCCTATCCCTTCTTTCTCAGAATGACCTGACAAAGAAAGTCTTGCATTTGAAAGCTTGCCTAACTTCATCCCAACTACATAGTTGGTCCAATAAAAGATATCATCCTAAGAAAGCCTTGCTTTGCATAATTTCTGGACCCTCGCGGCTACAACATCACTCTTACATGACTTTGCGCGATACTTATGTATTCCACTAGATGCCACTGTTACACATCCCATGGTATGGCCAGAAGCACAAGCAAAATTTGCATATTTTCTGTTCCTACTGAAAGCAACATATTAAGGGGAGGAAGATGTCAGTCTGTTTAAATTTAAATTGAAGAGTTTTTATTTGGCATCTTTATTGTTATAAAGAGGCATCCTACATGCACTATTTGGAGACTGTTTATTTTAGCTGGACAAGCAAACTCAGATTTTTAATTACTCTTTATCATGTACTAAATAGCATGATTTTTGTATATCCTCCTTTCCCCTAGCACTGTTAAATAAAGCCTTATTTAACTATGAACCTTATTTTTCATTTTACAGTTCTGCAGGGAGGAGGGAGACTGTTGTACAGAGATTTGGAAATGTACAGAGGTTTGGATAATGCCTATATACTAGTCCCAAATTTTCCAAACATCACTCTCCCCTTGCCAATAAAGGTATCATTATTTACAATACTATTCATATTACAATAACAATGAATAATAGTAATAATAAAAGGACTGTATATTCATCTTTTATCTTAACACTGTAAGTTTTTTGTTGGGAGCTCCATGCCTGTGGATGTGAGGGGTGGAATGGATGTTCTAAAACAGGGGTGGCCAACCTGCAGCACATGTGCCACAAGTGGCATGGGCAGCCTCAGCTTGTGGCATATGGCAGACCGGGACATGGACATGCAACACAACAGTAGATAGGGCACGGAGCAGAAACCAGAGCAACAAATTGGGGAGGAGCACAGGGCAGAAAACAGAAAGCAGAGTAGCCAGTAGGGTAGGGGAAGGGGTGGGAATGGCACTCAGGAATGGTGTGGGCCTAATTTTTAGTGCAGCTGGCCCGCTCTGTTCTAAAAGACATTCCTGAATGGATGTTTACCACTGAGCTCATTGGGCTGGGCTCAGTGATCAGAGAGACCCCTCCCAGTCCTAAGTGAATTTACAGGGCCAAGTCATAGTGAAGGGTTCTACCTTTGCCATCTTAGCACTACAAAGATGCCCAAACTGCCTAACTATAAGAGATTTTATCTTTAACTAAGTCTTGGTGGGTTGTGTCTAGGATTATTTCAAAATTGTTCTAAAAATGTCCTTTTTTTCCTTGGTTGTGGATTGAAAGCTTGTTTGTTGATATGTATACATACAGCCTTACAGTGTGCCAACAAATGTGCTACAATAATAATACTAATACGACAGTTTTGCTGTCAAATATTATTGTTAGAAAGTGCACCATACAAATATGATTGCAGCTATACCAATATTATTGATTCTGGGCTAGACTGCAGCTTTACTCCTGGTTGTGCAAAGACTTTCTTACTTGATTAATATCAGCCACTCTGAATTGCTTGTTTGCAGTCACGGGGCCACTCACCCTGCATAAAGCTAAGCATGTATGTTAATATTTTTAGGACTGAAATCTTATATAGTGAAGGGTACTATGTGCAGCCGCTATCCTAGGAAAAGACGAGAGAGCAAACAGTGACCCTTGGCCGTGAGTAGATGAAACAAGTGGCATGTGTGCATGACACTTTAAAGTGGGCTAAATGTTTTTGCACTGCTTTAATGGTGTCAGTGTTTGCATGCGTTGGTGGCATATTGCGCATTAATTCCAGCCGCTGTAGGAAATTTGGTGGTCTAATGCACCTTAAATGACCTGGGGCGCAGCAAACTAAAACTCCTTTGAGGGGTGTTAGTTTGCTGCCCCTACATCCTCAGAGTGAAGCACTGGGCTCTGTGCAGCTCCATGGCTCTGCAGGCAGCCTGGCAGCAGCCCAGGAAAGCAGCTCCACCCAAGAAAAGTGGCAAGTCTGATCTTTTTGCCCCTCCCCGTTCCCCCCGGAGCCTGCCTGAGCTGAGTGGGGGGCCCAGTGCTTCCCCCTGTAGCTGCGGTGCCCCCTGGGACTGCCCAAGCCAGGTGCCTGTGAGGGTGCCGCCTGGGCGGGGGGGCACTGCTGCTGTGGAGGGAAGCACCAGCCCCCTTGCAGCCCAGGGACTGCTCCATCACCAGCAACTTGCCCTCCCTTCCCCACCAGGGAGGCAGGTAAGTCAGCGGGGTGTGTGCACAACACAGGGGTTTAATCAGCCCTAAATTGCAATGGTGTTTTTTAAAACCCACCGCTTCAATTTAGGGTCCCCGTTTCATCTATACATGCCCCTTGAGAATCACAATTCATTCTCTTTCTGCAGTGGGCTAATACTCTGCTACTGGATTGACTCAATTCCTCCTCCAAGCCAGGATGTCTCTACTGGTCAACAACTAGGGGCTTTTCTGTCTGGAAAGCCTTGCTCTGCCTGCTGGTCAATGGAGTGGCAGTCCTGTGGCAATTATTGTACAGTCCTATGAACTGTGATCAGCAGTGGCAGCAGTCCTCCTTACAGCATTCGCTCCTTTGAACCATTGTGCTGGGCTGGTTACACTTGTTACAGAGGTGGGTTATGGCATGCAGGGATGTTAGAGGAAATCAGTGCTATTACTACTAAAAGTAATACTAAAAGGACTATTGCTAGTATTCCCAAAAGAAGTGGTTTGAAGTGCGAGTAGTGAGCTATCACGTTTTAAACAGTAATGCCTTGATTTTTTTTTTAATGGCAAAATCAGTCAGTCCCTTTCAATGCACCTACCTACCTGCTGATTATTATACCCAGTAGGGTCCTCAACATGCAAGGCACAAAGAAGTCCTGTGATTCATGGAAACTTTCCTATAAGTCACTTGGCAGAGCTGTCACTTTTCTTAAACAGGAGGGGTTTTTTCTTAAAGATATCTGCTGCTGAGCCGATTAGGTTTGAGTGGAAGAAATCAACTCTTACAGCAGCCTGGAAACAGCAAGACATGGCAAAGGACTTTCTGTCCTGTGCCCAGCTATTAGAAAAAGGATTGACAGATTCTCGAAAGATGGGTCAGATGGAAACCAAACAGGTCTGAGGCATTTTATTTCTTAGTAGATTCTCTCTGTTCTTCATCTTGATGTCAGCAGTCTCTGAAGATGTTCCCTGACCCAGGCTGGCATTTTTGGTCATATTTAGGAAGTTTATTTGTCTCCTTGACAAATGTGCCTCTGCAGCTCCTTTATTAGAGAAGAAAAAGAGCCTGGGCCTGGCAGTCCTGGGGCACCTGTGTTGTGTATAATTTTCTTATTATTGCCTGCCCTGAAAATACCTCAGTCTGACAAGATGAGATCTGGTGTCATCCTTTTTTATTTAAATTTAATTTACACAAAATAATGTTCTTCTTGCTCCATTTCTTCCAATTCTTTCTTTTCCTCCCCTGTTCATTTTTCTTTATCTTATCTGAGTCCCTTCACCAATGTCATCCCCTTCTACTATCCTGCATTTCACCTTTATGAATGCAACAAAAACATCCATTTATTTGCTATATTTGCAGGTCATTTGCGGCTATTTGTTTAAATTAGAAACAAGACTTCCAAAATGGAGCAGCCCAACTATTTAGCAGTTGTCATTTAAAGGTATCATATGGATAGGCAAGTTTTCTGTTTGCTGATATTTGCTTGCTTTTATCTTCACAACTATTTCCTCCATTGATGTCATTTTCTTCCATCTACACAGATTTTTAATGTTTATATTAGGGCATCATTTTACCCTTTACAAAATGGAACTGTTTTATCATCTAGCTGGTATTCAAGAACATTTTTATTTGCAATGTAGGCCCATGTTTCAACAGGTACGTCAAGCCTTGAGGAATCCAATACAAGTCTGTGAGACTACTCACATGTTTAATGTTAGGTGCACACTTAAGTACGTTACTGAACTTGAGTCAGTGAGAATTGATATTCGTATAAGAAGATTAACTTTTTTATGCTTTTTAAAGGGTTACATTGCTTGGCATAGGGTTTTGTGATTTACATATATGTGATTTAAGCACTATTACAAAGCATATTCAGGACAGTTTGACAGATTGGAACCACACTAATTTACACTGGCCGAGGATCTGTCTCACTTGACCTTTCATTATTGTACCTTCATGGTAAGTAGGTCATTATGCTCTGTTGCAATTTTAACCTCTTTGTCTTTTCCTCCCTCCCATTCAATCCCTGAATCCCAGATATACCTTGTTCCAAAAGTGAACTTTTGATTTGATTCTTGTAGTCAGATGAAAAGACTAGACCAACTTTTTCAAACTTAGGTCATTGGAATTATTGGGTATTCAGAGGAGCTGAAGTCAATGACAGTCGTGGGCTTCTGAAAACTTGAACTGACTTCAGCAGTTCGTCATTTCCTGTTGACTGCAAAACTTTGCTGTTTGCCTTATACTCAGTCCTCTGGAACCTTGTAGGCACATCTGAAACCAAATGGTTGGTAACATAGTTCTTTTTTAAAAAAAAAAAGCAGTCTGGGTTCAGGCAGACACTTTCCAAGCTCAAATGAAAACAACAGCAAATATTACCAAACAGAAGTAAAAGAAATTCTTAACTTGGGGCTCAGGTAACAAACCAGCCACGAATGATTACTGCTGGACGTAATGAAAGCTACTGTTGAAGCAACATACTTAATATATTAATTAATAGATAAATGGCTGATTCTGTATTATTACTATAATTAAGGGCTGGTACCAGTGGAATACAATATCATCACAGTATAACGATTCCCTTGGCAGCTATTGAAAATAAATGAAACATTAATGCCCAGGGGCCTCGACTTATGCAAAGGATGAAATTGTTCAAGACACTTTCTTTTGTAGCCCCAAAGCTGACAGTGACTTATGACACTGGATTGCATTTTGTATCCATCATATTTTCTTTTAGTCACAGATAAAATACCTAAGTAACTGTTTAATATAACTCCATAATTCCAGCCACTCATACTTATTCTGTGGCAAAACACAGGAGCAGAGTTTAGAGATTTTGTTTCACATGTGTTAATGTAAATATTTTTCTTTTTGTTTTGATTTGCAGTAATTCTGGAGTCACCTATACCTGCCAAAGACAAGCATCTAAGCTGGTGTTTCACTTCCTTACCATCAGAGTCAGTTGCGTTTACACCCCTTGCTGAAATGTGGCCAACATTTTGGTTGTATGTGAACTCTGGACCTCAAAAGTCAGGCTCAGCTGAACCAGATGTAACATCAAAACCATTTGAAAGTGCAACCCATCAACTAGCAAAGATTACCTTGGAAGGTTCAAGGAGGTGAGCAGTTTTGTAAGGGTTCCCTAAAGAATAAAATTGAAACCTAGGCATGTGCTATATACTTTGAGTTTACAATGGTTCAGCATTTAGACAACTCAATGAGGGGCACTTTGGAAATGTTAGATAATTAGAAGGTCAAGACAGATCCTAGACAAAAGAAAGAGAGAACAGCTGTTTTGAGAGCCTGCTAAATTCCCATCTTCCACATTCTCAGGAAGCGTAAATCACTTTGCTGCACTGACTTGGGCAGAGCTACATTGATTTACACCAGCCTAAGATCTGGCTGTTGCAATCAGCGTGTGCTTGGAATTGCCATTTCCTTCACTGATTGCATTTGCACCTACAGGTGGGCCTCATTAAATAAGGGCAAAGGAAGGTGGTGAGTGTTCAGCAGTACTGAGCCCCCAGGAAGGCTTCTAAGCACAGTGCTATGTTAATCACAATTGAATAAGATGAAATAAGTTGAGGAAAGCAGAAGAGAAGACTTCAGAAGCTGGTGAGAGAGGGTTCAGCCTTAAGATGGATTTAATTAACCAAGGCTCATAGTGCATAAATGCATTTCTCCAATCCCTGCAATATACAGAAGTGAATTTATCTTGCCATAGTTCAATTTCACACATTCAGACATGTGGACTACTGCTCAGCTCAAATAAAGTATTATTAAATCCTCTGAGACCAGTGCAAATTTAGAGAAACATTTCTATCAGTGGTTTAACTAAACTGAAATCCATTCATATCCCTCCTTAGCAAGAGCTGTTGCTTTTGACAGCTTAACTGCCACACGGTCCTCTGGACATGTATTTGCTTCACTTAAGAAAATCCCCCCACTTTAAACAGCCTATAAAAAAAAGCAAGATCCAATTTCCATTATTTCCCAAAGGGAAAAAAATTGGATTGATGACTTTTATTTGCATGAGTCTTCTTTCCTTCTCTCATGGGAGCCCTTCCCTGGGGCTCTTTAGCCTCCCTGGGGCTCTTTAGCCTGAAAAAGCGCAGGCTCAGGGGTGATCTGATGGCCACCTACAAGTTTATCAGGGGTGACCACCAGCATCTGGGGGAACGTTTGTTCACCAGAGCGCCCCAAGGGATGACGAGGTCGAATGGTCACAAACTACTTCAAGATCGTTTCAGGCTGGACATAAGGAAGAACTTCTTTACTGTCCGAGCCCCCAAGGTCTGGAACAGCCTGCCACCGGAGGTGGTTCAAGCGCCTTCATTGAACACCTTCAAGATGCAACTGGATGCTTATCTTGCTGGGATCCTATGACCCCAGCTGACTTCCTGCCCTTTGGGCGGGGGGCTGGACTCGATGATCTTCCGAGGTCCCTTCCAGCCCTGATGTCTATGAAATCTATGAGTTTTATTCCTATTGTGTATTTTTAAAAATCTCTAATAGAGAGCACAGCAGTGGTCTGAAGGAACTCCATTGCTGAGTCAAAGCTTATACCCTCAACAATGCAAAGTCAAAACTAAGATTATAGTCAAACAATAGTCATGGGTCTGAGTGATCAGAAAATCCCTGGGTACTATATATGTCTGAAAGAGCCATTGAAAGGGATCACATATATTGCCAAGACTTACCAGACACCAAGACAAAATATGGCTAAAGTGTTACCTTGTTACTTACATAAACTACAGCATCTTGTTTAAGTTACCATTTTACTTGTATGTTTTATCCCCTCCGATTTTTGAGTGTACGCCCCTACCAGGACTCAGACCTAGCTGTGACCTGAACTCAGAGTGGAATCATTCCCACAGTCTCACATATGGCTTTGGGTTGTAGTCCCTTAATACTAATTGGGTTTTACCTTAGGAGGTCTGATTTGGGCAGATGCTGAATTCTGTTCCTTTCTAGACAAAGATAATAGCTAATACTGTGACCACTGACCAGCTATTCTATTTAAATGATAAAATACTGATTATGTAGAATAAAATTCCAGAGAAAACACAACTAAACAAATAAACAAAACAGTTCTAGCTTACCGGACACCTAAACCATGCTCTTCCTAGGGGTTTGGCAAGTCTCAGTTTTCCATTAGCCCTGCAGTTTGGCTGATGTGGTCTGTTCCTGTAACTCTCAAATCCCTTCTCCCTCTTGCATGAGCAAAAGCTTTTCAGTCCTTTTGATCTCCAAATTCCCAGGCCACCAGAACAAACTTGCAACATCCCTATAAAGAGGCTCCTTGAAACTAACAGGTTGTACCAACGTGTGGTTGAACACAAAATCCATTCTGTGGTTTTGTGCTTCACTCTTCCCACAATACCTTATTAAGATAGATCGATACAGTCATCCAGGAATACATTCAGAAAGAAACACTGACAACAGAGCATGACAATATTGTAGTTTTTCTTCACTCTGCAGGTCACTTACAACATTTATACCATTATTACACGAGTACACATTGATTAATGCATGACAGCTACTCTTCCATCGCTACTGTATATAAGAATATAGCTCAAGAGTTTCTGTATGTTTGTCATACTAGAGTTTGGTAGTTGTGATCAGGAGGGAAGAATCCGTGTTGAGCTGATGGGTGTGTGGTGATATCTATACTTATTTTTATATTTCTTTACTTACTGAAATTCCTTACCTTTGAATTAAACAGTTCCCTACTCAGAGAAGCTACCTTATTCATCTGCTAAAACCAATCAAGGAAGAGGAGGCAGCAGATGTATCATCTTAAATCTTTTAAACAATCAGCCTGCAGTGGGTCCCTCAGCCCTACCTGGCCCAGGTGTGGGGGGCAGCCCAAGCTATGGCACATGTGGCTGGTCCCATCTTTCCCAGGCACATGGCAAGGTGGGGGCAGCACGGCAGCTGAACTTCGCTTCCCGGCAGCCCCTGCAGTAGCGGTTCCTTCCAGCTCTCATTGCTCGTGCCTCTGCCATTGCTGGACCCAGCCCTGCTGCCTGGGCACAGCCCATTCACCTTGCACCCACCACTGGGGGTGCTGGATGGAGCAGGTGGGTGGGCAGGCAAGCAGTTTCTCCATGGAGACTGACCCCAGACTCCTGCAGACAGCGTGTGCTTGGCCAGGCAGATGGGATAGAGCCATGGGCGGGAAGGGAATGGCATCAGGAATGGGACAGGAGGGCAGGCTCAGGGCTGGAGTCAGAATCATGGGGTGTGACAGTGGGGGTCCCGGTTGGTCTGTATGGAGAACCCACCCACCCACTCTGTCTGGCACTCCTGGCGGTAGGTGTGGGGATGATAGGCCTGGGTCAGGCAGGATCAATTGCCCTCCCTTGCCATGTTGGGTCAGCACCCTGTTTTTCCTTGGGCCTGCAACAGCTCATCCAAACTCGTTAAGTGGGCCTCCAACCCAAATAATTGCCTACCCCTGGGATAAAGAAATCCTTGATTCTAATTCTGAGATCTTTCTTTTCAACTTTGAATATAGCATGAGTTTTTTTTCCTGATGTTGAGGGTGTCCATGCAATTGTTAGTCAAACATCACAGTGGGCACATCTACACATGTGCATTTACTGCTCAGTAACCAAAATTACTGCGCGGTATGGGTGCACATCTAAATGTGCACACCTGTACTGTACAGTAAATACAGTCACTTACACCTACTTGAGCATAAATTTGATACCTGCAGGATGCAGGTATCAAATTTATGCCCAATTATGTACTGTGCAGTAATGCACATGTAGATGCATTACTGTACTGTAACCCAGGGGCCTCCCTGCTGGGTCTGCCCAGCCATTAGGGGGCTGGCCTGAGCCCAGCCCCATGGCTCCTGGCTGTTTGCCTCTCTTGGGTTTAATTTGGGACTAAAGTTAGTCCCAAATTCTGGCAGCTGGCTTTGGCTTCAATTTTGGACTGAAGTTAGTCCCAAGGGCTGGCAGCTGTGTGGCTGGAGCAACCCCCGGGTGGCCAGACGGGCACATGGTAGGCTGCTCTGACCTGGGACTAAATTTAGTCCCAGGTTGTCTGCATGTGTAAATTCTGGCTTATTCCCACTTACAGTGCAGTAATTTACTGCACAGTAAATTTAAACCAGCATAAATGCACGTATAGACATGCCCAGAAAGCGGTATAGCAAAGAAACCTGGACAGAGAGAAGTGGTATTTCCTGAGTTAGTACAGAAGCAAGTGCATGAGATACATGACATAACTTTTCTTTAATGGTTTTGTGAGTGAACAGTTTTTTACTTTGTACAATAGATGGCCTAGTCTTCAGTTTCTAACAAGACCATGATCTAATATTAGGGCCAAATTTTGAGAGTGGTGTGTAATGTTGAGTAACTTAGTTTTGGGGTACTGAGAGTGTATGCTTAGATCTGAATTCACTCATTTCAATAGCAGTGCATTAAATCATCTCAGTGCAAATCCAGATGCTTCAAACTCAGTTTCTTTCAGGTATCAATTTTAAGCAAATTCTGTGCAGCGCCAGAATTCCTATATAATACTGATCTTTCCAAACACATGAAATATTGAAGGTCTACACAAAGCAATTCTTAACAGTTTGAAAACACACAAAATGTATTGGGTTCTTGCCCATTTATGAAATGGAGAAAAATGTGTGATGGCAGTGAGAGAATTAGCATGGCAATAATTTAATGCATATTGCATGATAATAACCTGGTATTAGATAATGGTGGTTAGGTATTACAAAAATCATGGAAATAGCAGGTTACTGTAAGAAATTAGCTGTTAGGATTATGGTCTGAATTCTGCAAGGTAGTGAACACTTTGATCCTTATCCTGCAAAATAATTTAGCATGTACTAAATTAAACTTTAATGGTGTATCCAGATGAGCCTGCATGTGCCTCTTGCCACATCTATAAGCAGCAAAGCAACTGGAGGCTCCAGTCCTCCAAAGGGACTTTCTGGTAGCTGGCCAGAGTGTCTCTATGGCTGCCCCTTGCTTTGGTGCTGAAGCATGCTGCCTCCACCTGTGGGGCAGCCTGGACGGGTGCAGGCTGAATGGACCTGGGCTCTGTCAGAGGTAAGTAAAGGA